TTTTAATTTGCTGTCTTTATATAAACAGTAATATATATATATATATATATATATATTAATACACAGTTATTTACATCTGGAATGGTATGAACAACCTTATTGTTATATTCTTTTAGTTTAAGCACATTTCATAAGAAATAAACCTGAATTATAATGAGCTTTACTGATGCAGATAACATTTTTGGTCTAATTTAAATAATTCAAATGTTGCCAAAATTCTATTCATAAATTTAAATCAATGCAAACTTCCTAAAAGCTATACATATGCGTCCAATACTTGTGAAATCAATTCATTAATTATACAAAACAAAGATTTTACCAATAAAGCCATTATAGAATCTGCATGCGATTCAACTAATCTCAAAAGCTCCTGCGGGATTTAACGAAACCCTGAGGAGAATCCCTGCACCGCCCTCTACATCATCTACATGCTGATACGATTTGAGAATAAATGGATTTGGTTTTGTTTCTCAAAGCATACACAGCGTGGATTTTTAACCTATATTTGTTTTCTGTTGTGAGGATATGTGTCTGTGAATTGACACTATATTAATTAGACGTGTCCTTTGCAGCTCCTTCCCCAAAGCACACTTGTACAAAGAAGTTGATTTCTTGTTGCTCACAGCTTGGCCTTGACCACTCTGTTACACGTGCCAAACAACAGAGGAGATTCGGTCCAACAGAAATGAAACGCAAAGCTGAAACCGTCTTCTGTGCGTTATGGTGCCAAATGGTGCGTCTATGACCCCCCAAGCAACCGTAGCAGGGTGCCCGCTGGGTTAAATTAGCCCCATTAGGAACAAAGGAGGGACACTGTAACAGTATTACAGCAATTAACAGGCGTATTCTTACCGCTATGCGAGTCTGTGAGGATGCTTTAAGATATAAGATGATCCGTTGTTTGGGAGGGAAAGGTCGTTTTGGACTTGGTGAGGTCCAAACTTGAATCCCGCCGTTGATTATCAGCTCCACTTCTCGGGAGGAACCAGCAGGATGTTTCACTATTGTGTTTCAATTTAGTCTCAGAGCATCACTACGAGATGTGTAAGCAGTCTTTGTCCATGCCAGCCACGCTATTCTGTCTTCGGTCGAGCTACGTCGATTCAACTATGTGGTTTGTTGCGTAAAACCGGTGCCAAAATTCCTGCGGGCCCATTCCATTACAGCGATGCTAAACAATAGTCTGGTCATCTTGACAAGAACCGAACCCACACCAGCTCTGATAACAGCTGTATCGGCTTTTTAAAACCAAATCTTCAGCGCTAGTTTGTCCATATCACTATGACCGGCTCGAGAATTTGCTAATAAATACGTCAGCGGCTCACATGTGCCATTTGGCTCCAGCGTTGTCTTTCGGGTCCCTCGTCTTGTCCTCACAGGGGGAGTGAACAGTGGAGTTGCTGATCTGTTGATCACTGGAGGTCCACCTCCATCCAGCGGTGTCCTTGTCTCGTATTTATCGGGAACGGAGCCTTCGCCGTTTTCCACATGCGGTCTGACATTAGCTGAACGCGGATATCGATGAGTGACAGCTGGAGTCTCTGACTGTAAGCTTGGAAACCCATCTTTGCAGGAGGGGAGCAGCGATGTTGCGCGTACGTGTCTTTGGTAGTGCGCGTACCCGACAGGTCACACATCTCGGGTCCATAAACATCTGCCTAAGGAAAGGGCAGTTTGTACTTGTAGTCTTTGTTTGTGGTGCAGCCGTTCAGATATCACAGTTAGAGGGTCGGCGTATTTCTGCTGTTTTATAATGGAATAATCAATAGGATAATTATCTGCTATGGTATCATTTGAATACAACATTTAATATCTTTTTTATAAAAAAGCACTGGGAATGTTAGAGGTAATACTTATTTATTTATTCAAATTAGTATTGCTATGAGTTTATGTTCTTAATCTGCTTATCCACAATTAACGGAAGACGCTGGTGGGTCTCAGATATATTGGGGGCGGGGACGAGGGGGTGGGGGGTGGAATGTGCTATTGTACTGCAAGTGTATTTCCTTAGTATGGCAATGAGGCATTATAAATAAAATGTGTGTCACTCTGGAACACTTATATGGGCAAAAAGGCATCGTTAAATTTTTGTTGGCACATTGGGGTGGAAGATTTACAGATTCGGTTTTGGAAATATATTTTTATTACCTATTAAATTTAATAGAAGGGTAAAAAATATATGTATTTTGACCGTGATTTGGGAAAATATGGGATTTGGTGAAAATTCTATCCATTTTTCACAAACAACAAATAGTCCTCACAGTTAATTTTGCTCCATTAATGACTTATAGTAATTATACTTCTTTTTGTTTTGCAAGCCTGTCATAGTGCAATAAAAAATAACACGTTTTCTACTCATCAGTGCAAATCTAATCTATCAGCCAATCACATGGAAGCAATCAGGCATGGTCAACAAGTTCAAACTGAGCATCTGAATGGGGAGACAATCTCATATGTTTTTCAGAAACTGCTGATCTGCTGGGATTTTCCCAAACAACCATCTCGAGGATTTACAGAGAATACAGAGCATCTCTGAATGTACAACACACTGAACCTCGAAGCCAGTGGGCTACAGCAGCCGAGCTCACAAGACCTGGACAACAGAAAGCTTCAAAATGTGGCCTGGTCTAAGTTTGAGTTTCTGCTCCAACATTTAAATAGGATCAGAATTTATACTAAACAGCATGAAAACATGGATCCGCCATGACCACTCCTTTATGACCACCATGTAAATCATGGTGATCATGTCACAAAGCTGAAATCATCTTGGTCTGGTTTCTTGAACATGAAAATTAGATCACTGTACTCAAATGGCCTCCACAGTCACCAGATATCAGTCCAAATAAGCTACTTTAGGGATGTGACAGGAAGGAGGATTCCCATCATGGATGTGCAATCAACAAACCTAAAGCAGAATTGTGATGCTATGATGTCAAAATGAACCAGAATCTCCAGATGTTCCCAGCACCTCGGTGAATCTATACCACAAAGAATAAGGGCGGTTCTGAAGGCAAAGGAGGGTCCAACAGAGCAAGTAGTAGCAAGGCGTTACTAATGAAGAGGCCGGTGGGTGTAGATGTGAATTTTCTTTCAGCTAGTCTGAAAGAAGACATTTTATGAAATAAATCTAAAAATAAAATCAAAAAATTTCAAAACATGCTCAGAATGTTTTGGTAAAAAAATGTTTTGTTTACATTATAAAAATATTTACAGCAGTCAAGAGGAAATTTAATTCAGAGCAAATGGGGGAGACTTCTCTTCCCATAAAAGCAAACTGGAGAAATACAAAAAAACCCCTAAAAAATAAATAAATAAATGCAAAGTTAAAACTGTCTTTATTTAGCAAGATTAGTCTTGGTCTAGTCTGGTGTAGTTTTGTTTGTGGTCCAAATCCATAAAGCACAAATAAAGTGTCAATTTGACGTACTTGGCTTTTTATATAGGAAAAAAAAATAGGTTAATTAATTAAACCATTGACAAAAAACAATTAATAATTATTGGGCTGCAAATGATATCCAAGGAAGTGACTGAAGGAATCAGGGTTCTTCGATTCCTTACAGTGAAAAGGGGCTTACAGATGAGTAATTCGTGAAATGATTTGGATCACTTCAAGGTGTTCTACCATTCATTACCATCTCAATCGCACCACTGAGTGAGGGCCCACGTCTGGTCTCAATCTGCTTGTTTAGAAGGCCTCAAGCATGAGAACACATATGGTTCATTTGGCAAATTGAGACAGCTAGCAGCTTTGAGGTTGCAGCTTCATTCTTCTAAAGGCGGTGTGGCTCACGAGTCCATCCACCCTCTCTGATTCTGCAGGCACCCATGCATGTGCAGCTTCAATGAGTATGTGAGCTAAACTCTGGCATGAACTCTGGATCCCCTGATAGGAAATGAATCAGTACTGTTGGTTCTTTGGGTGCCCGCGGGTGCAGGAGTCACACAGTCATGTGTTTCTTTGTGTGCCAGATCAAATCCCCTACCTCAGATTTTTATGGATCTGCTGGAAGGTAGATATGAAAGGAGGAGCAATAGGATATATTCTGGGAAGGTTTGGAAACATCGTTCAGATCGACGGCCTTTTTTGCTTATGAGAAAGCAGGCCCCTGGTGCAGACACGTACGAAAGGCCTCAACAAAGCAGCAAGACATCCAGTCTGAAAGTACTCGTTGTTTGTTTTGCTTCACTTTGTATAGTTTTTTTTTCTTTTTTGGCTTCTTTGTAGTTGCTGTAGTTATGACATTGTTTGGAGGCTGACTCAACCTTCATCATCTTCCTTCAGCGAGTAGATAATTGTGGCTACATCTTCGCTATAAACAGATTCTTATTATGAAACTGTCTGCCTGGACTCTCAGTGCCTATAGCTGTCCACGTTGTGCCGGATAATCCAGAGGGAGAGATTCGCTCATGATGTTAGCAGGAAGAGACAAGTGTGATTGAGTCATAGACACATGGCAGAGCCTGAGAGGTGTGTAGTTGCAGTGAGAAAGGACGGCATGAATAAAAAAGTAAGAGCAGAGGATGGACAAACTGTGGGAATGGGCGACTGATGAGATGTTGAAATTAGATGAAGATGCAAAGGAAAAGGCCTGACTGAGGAGGAGGAGAGTGCCCCTAGTTGGCCCTATAACACGGCAGAACCTTGCTCCTGTCTATATTTAGCACAGGGACCACAGATTGTAATGACTGCTCCGGGGCCTTGTGTTCAGACCGGCAAGAACTGCTGCCATCCGTCTCTGCGCCCGGGGCCAGGCACGATCTCACGCCAGCACATAAGGGAGGAGTGATGGGACCGTGTCTGAGTGCACGCTTACTTAACAAATGCAGAGTTGATCATATTCTTATAGAACAGAGGTAACTGGATGTAAACCTCTGATAGAACCTGCATCTAAATACATCGATGAGGAAGTGAGTTCTTGTTCACAAATATCCAATTCCTTTCAATTCTCCTACCCTGAAGCATTTGTAAAGGGCAGAGAAACCCCCACCCCACCCCTACCCTTACCCCTGCTATCTACCCACGTTTGCCAAAAATAAATAAATACACAAAAATCACTTGTCACCCTGAACAGGATTGACATTCAGTCCAAATGTCAAAAGTAGCTTGCCATTTTCAACTCTTCCTATTCCAGGGCTAACCTTCCCAATCTCCATCACCTCCGGGACTGTTTGAGGGATTGTCAGTGGTGAGTGATGAAGGACCGAGCTGTTCAGACACTGCTGTGCTCCGAAGGTGTGACAAGATACGCAAACCAATGTGTCCTGAAGTGAAGTTAAAAGCTGCTCTTTAGAGTGATAATGTACTCAGTATATATGTTTTATGTTCAAATGCTTACACCCTACAGGCTTGAAAGTTTCATCTTTCACCAAGAGCAGTGGCTGTGGTCAGTTTGAAATCAAGTTTCACAGCAGACGGTGCCTCTCAAACTGCTCCTGCAGCATTATCCACTTCTCTGCTGCTGATTTGGCTGGAGGATCACTCATTGTGTAACTTTAAACTGCTCAAAAAGACGGTCTCCTAAATGCTGAGTTGCAGGCAGTTCTTCATGCTTTTATTGGATTTTTCAGAAGGAGTTCTTTGGGATACTGCACCACCAAACTTTTGGAAAACAATTCCCATACAAAAACCCCCCAAAAATATCAAACCTGCATTTAAGTAATGCTATACTCTGTAAGTTACATAAACTGACTTCTGGTGATCCCATCAGTTGAGAAGGCAGTTTGTATTGTTTGCCAAATTTGATCCTGCCTATAGATGAGCTCTTAATATACTTGGGCAATTGAAAACTCATAACCAGGGTCTTTAGAAACTATTATATATGGATTTATGATTTATGAAGCATCCTTAAAAACCCAATCACATCATTAAAGTGGATTTTATATAACAGCATTATATAAATTATTGACAGCTTTAAAAAAAAAAATCCTGGCATTGTTCATTTTACATTCTTAGCTCCTTCCTGTTAAATTTGAATTCACACAACTTCCCAGCTACAGAAAAGTTACACAGCCGGCCGATTTTATTTTACTGTAAATGTACTGCTGATTAGCCTGACACCAATTTGGACAACCCTACCCCTTCGTCTAATTACCTGAAATTACCTGAGCCACTCCACATTCTCTACACACCATTGAAACTACATCCATAGGAAGAAGTCATTTGTTGGGTTGTGTCACTTCCTGTGGCCTTTTAAGTTTACAGCACACACTCAAGATGAAGGAAGACCAAACATTTAATCCAATGACATCTGTCTCCTTTGATATGCTCCATCATTCCTTTGTTCCCCCTTTTATTTGGTCATGTGACCCTAACCTTTGCTTCCTGCCTGGCTGCCTCAAATCATCCCACAACCTATCAGTCACTGCCCACACTGTGTTCCAGACAGACACGCACCGCTCACTCAAGCCATCAGCAAAAAGTCCAACTAAGCAACATTTTCACCCACAGACACAAACACTGAAGATTCCCACCCAGGTGTTTCAAATCCAATACACCCATACGTCGACTTTGAAATGTAAAATGATGTTAAAAGATTGCAGCACTAGAAAGAACCAGACATCTCAACCTCTGACTTACAAACTTTTATTCAGACATACGCCAGATCGAACACCAAATGTCTCT